GTCCAGTTGTGAGGATTTTTGTTTTCTTTATGTTGAGGTGTAATCCATACTGAAGGCTGTGGTCTTTGATCTTCATCAGTAATTGCTTCAAGTCCTCTTCACTTTCAGCAAGCAAGGTTGTGTCATCTGCATATTGCAGGTTGTTAATGAGTCTTCCTCCAATCCTGTCTGCCATGGGTGACCCTGCTAGTATCTGAATACCGGTGGCATAGCTCCAGCATCACAGCAACACATAAGCTCCCACAGTATGACAAACTGAGAGACACGTGGGGGACTCACAGTGTAGTAGGTTAGAAGTCCAAATTCAGGGTGCCAGCTCCAGGGGAAGGCTTTCTCTCTCTGTTGGCTCTGGAGGAAGGTCCCTGGAGCTTCTCTGTGCAGGAACCCTGGGTCCAAAGGACATGCCCTGTTCCTAGAGCTGCTTTATTGGTGGTATCAGGTCCCCCACTCTCTGCTCCCTTCCCTTTCCTTTTATCTCTTGCAAGATAAAAGGTGAGGCAGGCCACACCCCACGGAAACTCCCTTTACATTGGATCAAGGATGTGACCTGAGTAAGGGTGTTACATCCCACCCTAATCCTCTTTAACATAATCTAATCTTGCCTCATTATCTGATAACATCTGATAAGACATTAGGATTTACAATACATAGGAAAATTACATCAATCAAAAAATGGAGGACAATCACACAATACTGGGTATCATGACCTAACCAAGTTAACATATATTTTTTGGGGACACAATTCAATCCATGACACCTCTACAGTCATTATCTCTGCTCCAATCAGGCTCTATCAGCCTGGATACAACAGGGACCCCACTGTTTCACCTTCCAGATCTCGAAATTCCCCTCTCAAAATAGTATGCCCGCTCTCAATTTCCACCTTCTTTGTAACATTTGATAATGTTGATTTCTCTCTAGTTCGATAAATTCTTCTCTTAGTTTCCACAATCCATTGTTTTTCTAGTTTTCTTCCCAGTCTCTCAGATTGCTCATTTTCTAATTTCTCTGCAATCTCCTTTTCCTTTCCTTCTCCCTTACTGTGGTAGCCCCCAAAGTTCTGTACTCAGACCTTTGCTCTTTAGTTCTCTCACTTGCCTTTTGCACTAATTTATTCATATTTTTAGGGCTTCAGCCAACAGTTCTATACTACCATCTTCTACTCCTACTTTCTTTAACCCTGACTCAAATAAAAATCCTTTTTTTTAAAAAAAATTTATTGTGGTAGAAATATATATAACACAACATTTGCCAATTCAACGTTTTTACATGTATAATTCAGTGACACCAATTACATTCATCATGTTGTGCAACAATCACCAATATCTGTTGCCAAATTTTCTATCACTCACCATTAACTGATACTCACTGCATCCTAAACAATAACTCCCCCCTTTCCTCCTCCCTCCCACGTCACCCCTGGTAACCACTGATAAACTTTAGTCTCTACACATTTGTCTATTCTAGGTATTTCATACAAAGGTAAGACCATACAATATTTGTCCTTTCAAATACAAATCCTTTATGCCTATTTCCTAACTACCTGCTGTCTGGAACTGAGCTCACCGTATTTTGCAAATCAGCCTCATCTATCAGCCCATTTCTGTCAGTTCTACCACCAACCCTCTAATCTCCCAGACTAGAAAACTTAAGACTCATTCTGCATTCTTTCCTTTTCTTCTTCATCTATATCCAATCTGGCACCAAAGACTTTAGTTTATTCCTCTGAAATGACTCATAGTATCTTTAATCTCATACTCTCCATTGCCTCCTCCTCTACCATTTTCTCTCAGTTCTCACTGCCTTTACTCTAGCACCAACCTTCATCATTTGACATCTCAGTTCCTACAAAGGTCTCTGACTGGTCTCTCTTAATGTAAAATTATCCCCTAAATATATATAATTCATGCTGCTTTCATCATATTAGTGGCATGGTCAAGACATGCTAATGGTTCCATATTATTTACTATGCTAAGTCTAAGGTCGGCATTCATGGTCTCCCATAGTCTGGGTCCATCTTGCTTACTCAATCTTTTATATCCCCATATACACATAATGCTTATTTTCCTCTTTAAGCCCTACTTCTTCTACTCCTCCCTCCCTTCATCAAGATGCTTTCTTACCTTCTCTCCTCTTGTCCAAAACTGGTCATCTTTCAAGTTCAGTGTTCAAGTTCACTGACTATGACTGCTCTGGCCCACACTGATACCTCTTGCCTTACTGCATTCTAAGCAATAATCTCTTCCAGATTAGTACCACACAGTATTTCTTATATTTTGTGTGCACTTACTAGATTTTGAGCTTATTGAGTACAAACATACATTTCTATTGCCCTCAGTTTATAGGACATACTAAAAAAAATCCAAACCCACTGCCATTGAGTTGATTCCGACTCATAGTGACCCTATGGGACAGAGTAGAACTGCCCCATAGGGTTTCCAAGGAGTAGCTGGTGGATTCGAATTGTCGACCTTTTGGTTAGCAGCCAATCTCTTAACAACTGCACCACCAGGGCTCCTATATAGTGCTTGCTAATTAACTGGTCAAAATCCTAAAATGGGAATAATGGGAGGTAGTGGGAGAGGAGAAAGGAGGTTGGATATCAAGGGAAGAGAAAACTTTGGCTACAACAATGAAGGAGAATTAATCTAAGTCTCTCTCTCTCTCTCTCTCTCTATATATATATATATATTCAAAATGTGGTCCCTGGACCGCCAGCAACTAAATCATTTAGGATGCCTGATAAAATGCAGTTTTCTGAACCTAACTGCAGATCTACTTAATCATATTCTAAAGCCCAGAAATCTGTACGTGTAAAAAGTAGCCCAAATGATTCTCATGTGTACCAAATCTGAGAACCACTAGTCTAAATGAAGAAGGCAGAAGATAAATGGTGAATGGGAACAGCTGGCTGTTCTTATGTTTACTGGATACGTATACTCTCCATCATGGCTAACAACAGAATGAAATAATGTCCCACTATTATGATTTGCTTTGATGTGATTCTCCCTCTTCAGTACATTTCTTTGAGCACAGCAGCCCCCTCTTTCATGGAAAGAGTATTTCAAGTACTGCAACACAAATATGGGCTGGTGAGTATAGAGTCTCTTGAAGTATAGTAATTTTGTGGCACACCAAGGAAAGCAACTGAGACTGCTAGGTTGGTTTTTGACTCTTAATTTCTCTAGGAAGTCAGATCTAACCAGAAACATGCTATAGGCTCCTGGAATTTAGGCTTGGCAGCATGGAGAGAGAAAACAACAACAACTCTGTGATCTCGTTTCTTAAGCTTTTAACTGGAACCAAGCAATAGCTAAAACATGTAGCCGATTTAGATAAAAACTGAGGACCCTCTCACTGGCTCACACCGAGCAGGATTTCTGCAGTTGAGTACTACAGCAGCGAGATAAAATTAGATATGATCGAGGAGAAGAAAAATGCACAAAAGTCCTTGAATTAGAATGAATTGAAACTTTCTGGGAGAAAAGCTATTTGGTAAGCTCCATTAAGTCTATTGTAGGTAGCTTTATTTGACAAAGCAGCATCCTGGCATGTGGAACAGCAAAGAAAATAGCTATAAGATGATCTGTCAGGGAGTTTCTAGTCTCTAAACGAATAAGATTCTGTGCAGCAGCCAATACAGCTTTTAACTCAAAAGAGATACAGAAGTAAAATGCAATTATATAACCCTAGTAAGTGCATTCAATCTGAATCTCCTATACACCCCTCTCCTTCCCCAATAACTCCTCAAACTCAGAAATTTATCAGGTGGATGCTCAAACTTACAGTTGCATTTATTTTGCAACACTGGAGAAACACTCTATATATACTTCAGATACTGCAGTGGAGACAAACCTGCAAGTCAAAGCTTAATCAGATGTAAAACATCCTGGCTAAGCACTTAAATATTCTGAATAGCTCAACTATTATTAAACTCTTTCGTTTATTTTGGCTCTAAATGCCAACTATCCAGTGACGACAAAGGGTTTATTCAATATAGATGTTTGTTTGTATGTTTAGGGATCTAATATACTGCAAAAGTGGTGGGAAACTCAGATGCAACAGCTAATGAATGCCTTTAAAAAACTTTGACTTTGTAGTTTTCTTAAGAGTTTCTGATAACGGAGTGAAGATTCTAGGACCACTCAAGTGGCTATAGAGCTGCTGCCTTCAATATTCAAGTAATGGAACCAGGATATTCAGATTTGAATTATCAATCAATCAACCAATCAATCTCTCTTTCTCTCTCCCACACACACATACACACGCACACGTTTATTGAGTATGTACTGTGTACCAGGCACTATGGCAGGTGCTTCCACTAGATTATGAGCTCCTCAAGGGCAGGGCCAGTATATTACTATATCTCTAATGTCCAGTACAGTGCTTGGCATATAAAAATTAGTTATTGAAGGGATGAATGAATAAATGAGCCCATTGAACCATCACAATATCCCTGTTAGATGGCTTTTATAATGTACTTCTTACAAGTGAGGAAGCTAAGCCTCAGTGAGGAAGAAGTTCCTCCTTAGTCAAGGACAGAGCTGGGACTAGAACTCAGGTGTCCTAACTTTAAGTCCAGTGCTTTTCCACTATTATCTTGCAGCCTCCTAAGATTGACTGGAATGATTTGCCAGAAAACACTGGTCTTCTAGTTGATATTTTATTTTCCTGTGGCAATCCCCCTGCAAGATAATTTGTTATGAAATTGAAGGGTTTGGGCGGTGTCATATTCTTCAGCAGGTTTGCCCTATGGGCCCACCAGGGACCCACACTGTGGCCTCTGCCTGACAGTGAAGTCCTAAAAGCCTTTATCCATACAACTGCTTGTGGACTTCCACTTAGTTCTCAATATATTCCCAACTAACCCCAACAGAAGGCAGCAGACAGGCAGACTGTGATATGTTGTAGATATTTCCATTTTGGTTGTAGATTCTCTTTTATCTTTGTGATTTTTTTTTATGGAACTATTTAATTTTTATGCAGACAAATTTATCAAAAATTTCCTTTAGGATGTCTAACATTGATGTCCATCATCCCCAAATTATATAAGCAACCTCTGTGGTTTCCATATTTTCTTTTGCTATATGTATCTTTTTTTTTGTACATTTCAATCTTAAATTCATCTATAATTAATTTTGGTGTCAGGTGTAAGTGAGGGAGGGATCTAATTATTTTTTCCCAAAAGGCTGACTGGTTATCCATTTATGAATATGCTCTCTTATGGTTTCTCCTGCCGAATATATTATTAATCAATCCAAAACAAATATAGAACAATATTGCCCAACCGCCCACTGCTTCTTGGAAAAGAAAGTTCACTTTCAATTAGGTGCTGCAATGGAAGATGGGAATAAATGAAGACCACAGAATCCTGTAATCACAAAGTTGATATTCAGCCAGTGTGTACTTGTATGGCCTTACCAATTATTTCTAGCTGGTGTCCAGCCTGATTGGAAGGTGCCCACACCTTACTGGGTATTAAAGATTTTTCATATCATTCCTGCAAGCAAATGTTACTTAAATAAAACAAAGCAAACTTATCCTTACCTGATTCCTCAGTTTCTTTTGTTTCTTCTATTTCATCATCAGACATTTCCATTTCTTCTTCTCGCCTGATTCCCATTAGTTCATCATTGTGAATGTTGCGAATTTCCTAAGGTTAAAATGTACAGTTTTTAGATGGGAAAGCCTTGAAAATGTGAGGAAATGAACAGGGTTAAGGATAAAATAAAGCGAGGTTTTTTTGGGTCATCTAACAAAATCTCAGTGCACCCTTATGGCAAAGGCATAGCGGCACTCATATGGCAAAGGAAAAACAGACTGTAGTCTACTCTATCCTACTTAAAGCCTTCTTTCCATACCCAGGGCTCTGGCAGCCTATGACTCTTGCATTCCTCCCATATTAAAAACAAAAACAAAAACAAAAACAAAAACAAATCCATTGCCGTTGAGTCGATTCCAACTCATAGCGACCCTAAAGGAAAGAGCAGAACTGCCCCACAGGGTTTCCAAGGAGCGCCTGGTGGATTCGAACTGCCAACCTTTCAGTTAGCAGCCGCACCTCTTAATCACCACGCCACCAGGGTTTCCTTCTCCCATATTAGAAAGTACTTAAAGCCATGAAGTACCCCTCACCTCTTACTCACATAGATTTCTGGATTTTCTGTTAGGGGTTCTGCCATTTTCACCTTCCCATGTCTGACCCTTTGATTTTGCTGCTTGCCACCCCGTTCCATCTCCCCTTACAGTTTTACTCAACAGAACTCTTTTAAGTTAATTTTTTAAATTGTACTTTAGATGAAGGTTTACAGAACAAATAGTTTCTCATAAAACAGTCAGTACACATATTGTTTTATGACAATGGTAAGCAACCCCACGACATGTCAACACTGTCCCTTCTCAAACTTGGCTTCCCTATTAACAGCTTTCCTGTCCCCTCCTGCCTTCTAGTCCTTGTCTCAACAGAACTCTTAATCAAGTTTTTGCAGGTTTACAAGTTACAGCAAAAATGAGCTGTCAGAAGTAAGAACCTATCAGACCAACTCTCCGATGGACAGCAACTTTAAACTCTGGGCAAAACACAAAACAACATAAACAAAATCCACAACTACATGATGGCATTGGAGAGTGAACAAAAGCAGGCTTATTCTAAAGAGCAGCTGATACTTAGAAGAAGTGAACAGCACAGGGTGAGCTTCCCAGTTTTTTAAGAGTCTCATAGTCTGAGAGCAGATCAGAGTTAGCACCTCACGGGGTGGCTAAAATTCTAATAGAAAACCCACAGTCTTTTTGGCCTGAAGAACTGGACAACAGAGTTCATGGCAACCATAGGCATTGGAAAGTTGGGGGTGGGGGTGGGTGGAATCCCAGGAAGGAGAGAGCCAAAGAGGGAGAGCTCCAACTTCTGTATATAAGATCTGTCCAAATTTCTACATGACACCTGAACCATACATGCACAAGCAGGGCAGATTCCAAACAGCACAGTTAAGGCTGAAAGAACAGAACTGAGATTTCAGCTGTTATCTAAGAGACAGAGTTTCCAGTTTGAACTCCAACTAAGTAAACTGACCGTTAAAACGAAAGAAATAAGGTCAACATTCTTTGGAGAAACATAAAATAATCCAGAGTCTTTACAAAATAATATTCACAATATCCAGGATAAAATCCAAAATTACTTGACATACAAAGAACTAGAAGGAGTGATCCATTCTCAAGATAAAAGACAATCAACATAGATCAACCCTGAAATGACCCAGATGTGGGAATTAGCAGACAAGGATTTTAAAGCAGCTATTATTAACTATGCTCAATAATGCAAAGAAAATATGCTCATAAAGAATGAAAAGACAGGAAATCTCAGCAGAGAAATAGAAACTATTAAAAAGAACCAAATGGAAGTTCTAAAACCAAAAAAATATGATAATATAGAGATAACTTGAAAGAAAACAAAATAAATTCATCCAATCTGAAGAAGAGAGAGAAGCATTTAAAAAAAAGCTAACAGAGACATAGGGACTTATGGGATCACATCCAAAAGTCTAACATACATATAACTAGAACTTAGAGAGGAGAGAGAGAATGATTAACAAATATTTGAATAAATAATGGCTAAAGAGTTCTCAAATTTGGTGAAAGACATTAATCTACAGATTTAAGAAGCTTAGTGAACCCCAAGCAGGATATATGTGAAAAAAAAAAAGCATACTAGGAACATTACAGTCAAATGCTAAGTACTAAAGATAAGGCGAAAATCTTGAAAGCAACCAGGGAAAAACAACACATTATATACAGGGGAACAATAATTTGAATACTTTGATCTTTTTCAGAAACAATGAAGGCCAGAAGATGGTGGAACAGTATCTTTAAAGTGCTAGAAGAAAAAAAAATCTGTTTACTGAGAATTCCGTATTCAGAGAAAATTCCCTTAAGAATGAAAATGAGATAAAGACATTTTCAGACATACAAAACCTGAGAAAATTCATCATCAGCAGACCTGCACTGCAAGAAATGCCAAAGGATATTCTTCAGGCTGAAGGGAAGTGCTACCAGTTGTAAACTCAGATCTTCATTAAGGCATAAAAAGCACCAGACATAACCAAGATTACACTGGAAAGTCACTTAAAAAAAAAAAGTAAACAGGACTGTGCATTTTGGAGTAGCCTGCAATCATTTAGAGGCCACCTGATGCCTGGCAGAGGCTCCTCAGCACCAAGTTGAGAATTTCCTGCCTAGGTTAGTCCCAATTGGGCTGTCATGAAGGCAATATCCAAAGCTGCCTGGTAAAAATTGCCTCCATTTAACCAAACCAAACCAAACCTATTGCTGTCAAGTCTCTTCCAAAGGCTGTAATCTTTATGGGAGTAGACTGCCACATCTTTTTCCTGCAGAGCGGCTGCTGAGTTCGAACTGCTGACCTTTCGGTTAGCAGCCGAGCGCTTAACCACTGCACCAGCAGGGTTTCTTTGCCTCCATTTAGGGGGACTATGAATATTTCAAATGGATTTCTTAATCACTAATGTTATAGTTAATCACTATCCCAACTAATAGCCTCATTTTTCATTCCTCTTATCAGGAAAAATAATGGATGGAAACCCCGGTGGTGTAGTGGTTAAGAGCTACCGCTGCTAACCAAAAGGTCGGCAGTTCGAATCCACCAGGTACTCCCTGGAAGCCCTATGGGGCAGTTCTACTCTGCTCTATAGGGTCGCTATGAGTCGGAATTAACTCGACAGCAATGGGTTTTTGGTTTTATATCAGGCTAAGTTTTTGCTAACAATAAATAAAAGACCCTTTAAAAAAGGTGAGCTGTTCAGCATTATCACTGATAAAGTTAAGAAGTAATAGAAACACCAGATGCTAACATAGCATCTCCCATGTGCTGCAGGGGTATTACTTAAAGTAGGCGAAAATAACAACTTGCTTGAGAAAAATGAAATCTAAAAGGACTGTGTCAAGACAGATTTGTTATGTCCTATTCAAACTCATTGCACAGAGAACAATAAAAGAATTGCTCATTTCTAAGAATTCATTCTATCTCCAGTTTGGGTTTCAGTTATCATCAAAGAGCTGTTATTGGAAGGGTGATTATAATAAGTTTGACACTGGCAAATTCGAATATGGTATAACTTACTGCATCAGGGAAAGTCGTGGCTCTCCTAGTTGCCTAACAAAAACGTAGTCTGTGTGAGTGTATAAACAGAGACCAAGTCTCAATTCATAAACATGCCACCTAATTCTGGGAACGGTACTATCTTTCTCATAAAAGTAAATTGTGTTCCTTCTAGGGAAATGTCTCAGGGTAGCAAGATCTGAGAGCAAAGACATGCTCTGTAGCTGCTCAGCATCCACAAAGCATCTTTCTGCTTCCAGCTGGGTAAGAAAGCATAATCTCTTCTTAGAAGTATAAAAAGTTCAATCACTAAGTGATATAGCTTATCTACAGGTCTTTCACATCTTTAAAAAAAATCCCTAGAAATGTAACAGACCTATGGGCAAATTTTACCTAAATGCCTCAAAATACTCCAGGAACAAGAATTATCAGTCCCATTTAGCTGATAATGAAATGAGGGTGAGAAAAACTAAGGGGAAGTTTGCTCTAAGTTACTGAGAGTCAGGCAAAGTGGGAGAGCTCAGAACCTTCTAACCACTAGACAATCCTTCTTAGCTACAAAGAAACTATGGGTCTTATCGTTCTTCTTCTATATATACCCAATACTAAGTCATATGAATGGGACAAAAGGCAAAGCGAACATGATAGGTTATAGGGTACCGTACTAAAGTAAACTTATGGGGAAGTATTTAGTAAGTGACAGTACCCCCAAGTAAAGCAAGCGAGATTTTAATTCTTTGAAAACTTTACCATTAAAGCACTTGATATCTGAGATGCCTATTTTTTTTGTATTTTCCAGTTGGAATCAAAAAGTTCTACTTTGGGAAATAAACCCTAACAAATATCTTCAGAGTAAAGGGCTAAAAGGTGGCATTTACCTGAGAAAGACACCATAACTAGCATGGACGTAAGTGCAGAAAGGAGGAGGACTCTGAGCCACTGAAGTGCAGGCAGGAAGGGAAACAGCTGCTTCCAAGATTTGCCCCATTTCCCATGCTGACATTTGGATTCAGTGCTGAAACCGTAAGAGTGGCAACGGCATGCAAAAACATTTTCCGGTAATTTGCATTTTAAATCTCTCCCTAAAACTGACTGCGCCAGGTCACTGATAGACTACGTCACAAAAGGTAAATAGCCCACCTAAAGTTTCGGCACCATTCTCCTGCCCAATCAAAATCTATATCTTCCCCAGTAGGTCTGTGATATTTTTTCATCTGAATAGTGAACTGTTAGTGATTTTTGACAATGCATTATACTAGCTTTGTGTCTGCTGTAATGATAACTTTTTCTAAGGCTTAGAAATTCACACACCGCTCCACAATGGAGGACAAAACACTTTCATACAGAATAAAACTGAAATCCAAGACAGAGGAAAATGCATGAAAAGAGTCATTTTTGTACCACCTGACATTTTTTGATTTATCATAAAGTAAGCAAATCATCAATTGTTGCACGTTAATTATCTAACTGTAGTTTTCACAAAAATTTGTGTGGATTTAAATTCATCTTATTCCTGCTTTATGATAGGAATGCTATTACAGAAA